CCAACCCGGCTGATCAAGCCCCCTGGGCACAGTCCCAAGCTCTGGTAGCACTTGGCCAAGTGGGACTTGTGATTACTCCCAGATAGCCTTGATACACCATATTTGATTTATCCCCACCCAACCTTCACCAATATTCAATCCTGATCTTGACCCAACCACTCCAAAAAAAGTAGAACAGTCTTGATGTTGCAGTTTGATTACAAAAACCTTGTTGATATTAATTTCTGTTGTGATGCAACCAAGGTTTACATAGGGGAGACAGGGGGACATAGGAAGGCCCTTTCACAAAAAAAGATTAGAGACTCCCAGTGTGAGAAGGGCTTTTCCAGGGGAGCTAAAAGTGTGCCGCTCCCAGTTTGAATTTTGAAAAATAGGCTCTTGTTTAGTCCCATCTGGTGGAGATGGTCTGAGGCTCTGTGAAATTTTCCCCTCAGCAGACAAGACACTAATAATTGTGAACTGTCTTCAATTGAAGTTGTTTTGCTTGACCAAAGGCAAAGAATGTTGGTTTAGACCCAGGTACTTTGGTACCCGGGTACCAGACAATCTTTTCAGCTAAATTGAACACCGGACACCACACCTGCCACCACCTAGGTGGTACCGGGGGTATTGGCTGCGGGTACCTGTGGTACTCTGACAATTTTTTTTCTCAGATGAAACTGATCAGGGATTCACAAGTGCAGTATGGTATTTCTTCATATAGACATGTATATTAGCTGTAAAAAAATTGCTGGCTGGGTGGTGGGAGAGATTGGTCAGTGTCCGAGTTCCTGCAAGTGTCTACTACATGGCCACTTGGCAGCCCAAAAGGCTGCCAAGTGGCCATGTGATTCACGGGGCTTGGGGTGGGGTGAATGACTCAAAATGGGTGTGATTGATTGTTTTAGACAAGGGGGGGGGGGCACTGGTTAGGCTGGGCTAGTGGTTTCTGGTTGAGTTTCAATGGCTAAAAAACAAGCTGATCTCAAGGTTAGCAGCCTCGTTTTGCACAATCAAACAAATTGGGTGCATTGTAGGCTAGGAATCCCTCTCTGGTCAATAAAAGTTGGCCGAATTTCATTCAAGGCACCATCTTCTCAACTTGTCTCTTGACCATGAAAGATTAAGGATTTGGTGAATACATGAGGGTCAAGCCTCAAGGAAAAGGTTAATATCCTTCCCTGTGTGAAGGCTGGAGCTGAAGTGGGGATCTATCCCTGCAGTGGCAAAGTCAATTTTATTTACAGTTTAATTGAAGATTTATTTAGAAAGAATGATTGATTCATACTGGATATGAAAAGAAGAAGATGATCCCGGGATAGGAGTGTTGATAAGAATCCAATCCATTTGTTTATGTGAATATAAAAGGGAAAATTATAAATCAAACCAATAAGAAGACTGCATTCTGATGTATTTTGAAGATCACCAAGGCAAGAATAGAATTTAGAGATAAGTGAGATAAAAACCATGACATAAGTAAAATAATAAACCATTCTAGATTTCTAACAAGTTTTTTTGTAAGTTTTCATAAATATTTCAAGTTTTGTTTTCTTATGAATAGTATTTATAACTTTGCATGATTTCATTGATTTTTCTTTCTACATTCTCTATTTTTCTGCCTATCCTATAGGTTTGAGAATAAGCTTCCATGGTTGGAAGGTCAAAGAAATCATTTTTCTTTGAAAGGATGATCTGATAATATTTTTAAATCATCAAAACTTCTTGAGAAAGATCAGCTAGCTTGTTCTCTTCATGAACAGTCAATAAATTATTCTCTCTATGATAAGCATATAAATAAATGTTGTTGAATTCTTCAATAAAATGAAAGCTGGTTGACATGAAATTGATTTTTTCTTTCAAGAAGTTCACTGATTCAAGTTCTAAAATTTCCAAGCCATAGTTGTCTTCTATGAAATCCAATATAAAGAAAGAACTTATCTTCCTGATTTCTTGATCATTTTTGGATCCATGATCTTGAAATTGATCAACTAATTTAAGGACTTCATTTCTAACTGAAATGTAAGAGATATCACCCTTTTTCATTTCTTCCTTTGAATTTTTTATTTCATGATACTCCTCCAATGTATTGAACAACTGATCATCTTCAAAAAATGAATCAGGGAAAAACTTTCCATAGTCTTTACAATATAACTTGAATGCCTTGAGACATAGATATGAAAAGTATCTCTTTTCCCTGTCATGAAGAACTTGAAAAAGGAAAAATTTTCAATACATCAGCCAAATTTAAAACCAAACAGAAAAGGAGGTATTGTAAGTGTTTCTGCAGAATAATTTATTTATGAATTCATGCACTGCCAGCATAATTGGCTGGGTTGAGGTTATCCCTGTCAAACTGGGATTCACTCAACCAATTCAAAACAAGTTGATGTCAACCAATCAAATATAAACCAAAGGGACCTGCCTTATATTTATATTTAATTGATTAAAATCAAATGCTTTAAATTGGTTTGATGCATCCAGTTAAACTGTGATAACTTCAACCAATACTGCAACAAATAAAATACACAGTTTGTATCATGAGGAGTTTTACCAACATATATGTTAGTGGAATATTTATTGTATGACACTCTCCACATGATGAAATTGGTCATAGAATATTCAGCATCAAGATAATGATACATACCAACAACTTGCAGATACTTTATTTGTTGCAGTGTTGCTTCAACCCAACCAATTATGCTGGTAGTGATGTTTACACATTCATGGTTCAATTTTGAACGCCACTGACAAATAGTACTGGTTTTCAACTAACCTTGAGACAGGGTCCTAAATGTCTCACTATACCACCTTTGTAATATAGCTTTGGGGTTTGGAAATATTAAACTGTCATCACTCAGTCCATATTCCAAGGAAAAAGTAGCAACCATGTTGAGTGCAGCAATTTTCAGAGTGTTCTTTGTTTGATAGAAATGTTTGAAATCTTCCTCATCTATAAATTTGTTTTTGTACATGTAATTGACTGTTTCAAATGCATTTTTTTGTATTCTCAAGGCCAGTCTATTTTTGAGCTGGAAAAAGTTGATTTTAGTTTCCATATTGAAGGAAGAAACTTCATGTATTAATTGGTTTAATTTCTTAAGCTGATCATACCAAACCATTTCACGTAATGATTCTCTTGTTGCCATCTCCATTCCCCTCTTTGGAATGGGATCTTTAAGCAGCTTCAGAAATCTGGTAGGGTTCTCAGAAATTCCTTTTGAGCTTACAGTTTCTGTTACATGTGAGCTTCTTTGTTCTGGTATGTATCTTGTATCCTGTATTTCATTCCAAAGGAGTTTTTGGCAGAGTTCCAATGTTTCCATGCTCTTCAATAAATTTCTAATCTTGGGATCCACCTTCCACATAAACCCAATATCACAATCATAAATTTCTTTCAAATGGTGGAGGTCTTCCTGCATGGAAATGTAATCATGCTTGAATGAATATTTTTGTTCTTCAAATCAGTTCCCCATTTTTGTTTTTTTCAATGTGAATCAAAAGATATGATCAATAAGAGAAGAAATAAAAATCTTTGTTAAACAACTTCCCCATTGATTCTTGTATAAAGTTTGATGACTTACCTAAATTTCCAAAAAGATTTTCTTGTTTATAAAATTGAGGAATGGTTTCAAAATGTTTGACAATTTCTTCATATGTTATATTTTCTGCCAGATCCTTTGGATCACAAGTAGGATCCTGGCTACCCTTTCTAACTTTAGAAACTGGAATAGCCATGGCAAATGGGAAAACTGGCCTATCCTTGGCACTTTTGGAAGCTTGACTACTCTTTAAGATTTCAGAAGGTTTTGTCTCAAGCAATGGTGCTGTCAAATAATCTGTAAGATTTTCCCAAAGGCATTTGTCATGGGTCTCAGTAAGCATCAAACATGTTATATATGACATCAAACCAAATATGAATTGAAGGGAATTACCAATTTGTTTGAATTCACCCTGGCATTGAATTCCATAAAGAAAGCAAAAGGCTAACAATCCTAAAATATGATATCTCCAATCAAGTTGAGTATTATCAACTGACATGCTCACTGGAATGCCAAAATTATGGTAAAAGAATGTAAGGTATAATGTCTTGAATATGAAGAGGGACTAATGATTGATGTGTAGTAGTCAGTTTTATGACAAAAAATCCGGCACTGGGTATTTATAGCCAGTTCCAAGATCCCCCAAACCTATCGGATTGAGGAAAGATATGTAGGCTTATGTAGGAGGTTCCCTACTACAAGTCATTCAAGTGCACCAAAAAAATATTCATCTCATGCAAGTCTCACCATTGGCCGGCCAGTATATACACATGACAGAGACCGAGCGGAACTTGCCTCACAGAGATGCTTTTGCTGCATAAGCTGGGTGAGGGTTTTAACTGCAACGAGAGGTACACATTTCATTGAAGAGCAATAGATCTAAATATGTTTAGTCACAGCGGCCTCGGCAAAGACCTCAGACAAACTGGGAGTCTGGGGGGGGGGGGGGACGGAGCAGTCAGCTGAAATGGATCATGCAACCCTTTGAAGAAGCCGAAGGAGGAGAAGGAGGATGATAGTTTGTCAGATAAAGAGTCAAAAACTAAGGGACCTTGTTCCAGTCCACCGAGAGGCTTTGTTAAACCGGAAGAATTTCGCAGTCATTCTACTATGTACACATTTATTTTGCATGCAAGAGAATGTGTTTGTAAATAAGAGTCTCAGCGGCCTTGGCAAAGACCTCGGTTACTGGCACCAGGCTGGCCAATCGACCAGGACGCAAGCAAGCGAGGACATGCCGTACCTTCTGAAAAAGCTTCGCTTGAAATTTATTGGGATGAAAAAAAAAAAAAAAATGCTACGCAGCTCATCAGAACGAGGTCTGACCCAAAGGAGGAGAAGCATGATGAGTATGTATCTGTCAGGTGGAGAGTCACGACCCTGGGGAACTTGCCTTACCGAGATAGTTTCTTGAGCGGGATACGTTTTGCAGTCATCTATGCACAAATTTCCTTCCTGTGTAGCAGAATATGTTCATAATTAGGAGTCTGAGCGGCCTCAACAGAGTCTTGAGACATCAGATGCTGGCATGATTGCATTGTACCAATCTGATTTCCATTTGAACCCTGAAAAAAACCCTCACAGATTGTGTGATTAACTTAAAAACGAAGCTTTAGTTGATGTATAACGGAGTAAGGTTCTCTAACGAAAAAAGCGGGTGATGAAGGAGGCAGATGGACGAGGCTTAGAAGGATATTTGAGACGAGTCGATTAAGGAGCATTGAAGAAAACAAAAGCATCGCTCAACAATGTCTGTTTAAGTGTGTCTGTGTGTAACGTATCTAAGCCTATAAGTTACTGGCACTGCAAATGTGGTTTGTTTTCTTTTCTTTTGTATGTATGTATTTACACAAGGTATTAAGCAGCAGAGATGATAGCATTAATGAGATCCCCATCGCTTGATTTGAGCGCTCGGACTGAAGAAGAACAGATTAACTGGAGTCAGACCTGGATACACAGACGAAATAAATGAGGAAGGGAGAGGTACTGACTGGCTCTATTGCGACTACACTTAACCTGGCCCATAACGGTTTCGATATCTTCGGCATCGATTCCAGTAGCGTCCTCAGGCTCGTCATCCTCCGGCTCATCCTTCTGTTTATTAGCCGCCTGTTTACCGGCAGCCGAGTTCGAGATCATCATCTCGGGTTGGAAACCACCTCCTGCGTTCGGCCCTCCTCCCATCGCTCCTCCTCCACCGCCGCCGGTCAAGTTCCCTAAACCTGCTGCCGCATCTTCCGTTCTGGCTTCCCCAAATACTATGTAACAGTTCGAGTGTGGTGATTTGTATACTTCCGCATTCGCTATCACAAAAAAGTGTTGCTATTGTTTATTTAAGATCGGTAATCGGTAAAGAACTCCAATCAGTCTTTTGTTCCTTTTGTGAACCTCTAGGATATATCAAAAGATTGGTGAAGGGAAAAGAAAGGAAAGAACTAACAGCTTTAGAGCGTCTCATAGTCACTCTAGAGATCCCAGGGACTTTCTTAAGACCGAGTTTAGAGAGCGCCTTGCGAGCCTTACGTTCTCCCCGAGATTGTAAGGAATCGTCACCGAGGATCGGGCCACCTTGGTCTGTATCTTCTTCCTCCTTAGATGGGAACAATCCGTACGACATATCTTTCTCTTCTTGTTCTTCTACATCTGAAGAAAGTGTTGTGATCTGCATTCCGTTCAACAGCAATCATCAGTCAACAAAAATGTGTACGATTTCCGATGGGTTTCAGGTCTTAGAAACGGAGAGGTTGTTACTCACCTTTTCTTCGGCCATCTTGTGAGCTTCCTTAAGTGTCTAGTGTGGTGATCGGTGGCTGTTGTGTGTTGGCTTGGGCTGTCAAGGTCTGTGGGGATGACGCTACAAGGTGGTGGTGGGGACGGGGGCGGCGATACAGGACGCAGAGATGATCGGCAGCCTCTTTTTCGAGGCGCAGTTGTGCCCCACTGCGGAATTGCGCATCTGTCCTCGCAGCACTCGGAGTGTTTTCCTGTGATGTCTTGGATGTCACACTCCATTTCAACCCCAGTTTGTGTTTTTCAATCAAGTCATGGTTCTGGAGAACCCAAAATGAGAGGTAATTATTGAAGACCAAGAACAAGGAGGAGATATACAAATTTGTATGATGTGTTATGAGGGTGGTCAAGCATACAACAACTAATCAGCAACAACTGGAGATTGAGTAGAATTTCTTCAAAAACATATATAGAGGGTCTTAGCTAATCAACTCCCAAAAAGTGGAGGATTGACTCCCAAATGTCCAGGATGTCTTGAGGACCATCCTGGGACAGCCAAACCCCCTATTCCCCCCCCCCCCCAAAGGCTTGGGATTCAATCCTCCAAAACCGTCAGTTTTTTTGGGAGTCCGTGATACAATAAAAATGATAATAAAAAGTTGGGGGTTTGGGAGCTGAACCTCCAAAACCCTGCTGGTGCTTGGGAGTTGGAGCCCTAGGATATCACCTGGACCCTTTTCGGGACACCCAATTATCTTTCCCCTGAAATAGTCCAGTCTAAGGGGTACAATAAGAGTGTGGATTGGTATGCAGCGGCCAAGAGGATTCTCTTGGTTGCTGAGGTTGTACACTCTCAGCAACCGTGAGGATTCCTCCCAGTTGCTGAGAGTGTACACCTCTCAGCAGCCAGATTAATCCTCCTGGTTGCTGAGAAGTAACCGGGTTGTACACCTCTCAGCAACTGCAAGATATGGACATGTTCAGTGGCGGGAGGGAATCCTCCCGGCCGTTGAAGTTGTCTCCCCCCCCACCAGCCTGTACACCTCAACAGCTGGGAGTTATCACTCTCAGCCGCTGAGGGTGTACAAACCTCAGCAACCGAGAGAATCCTCTTGGTTGCTGTGAGGTGTACACCTTCAGAGGCCAAGAGGATTCTCTTGGTCGCTTAGGTTTGTACACTCTCAGCGGCTGAGAGTGATAACTCCCAGCTGTTGAGGTGTACAGGCTGGTGGGGGGGGGGACAACTTCAACGGCCGGGAGGATTCCCTCCGGCCACTGAACATGTCCAAATCTTGACAGCCGGGAGGTCCGTCAAGATTTGGAGGGCTATTCCCCGGAAGATTAATTTTTTATTATTTTCATTAGACAATCAACTAAGGCATGACCCCAAATCACGGTGTGAGAACTCCTTTGGGAATGGTGGCAGTCCTGTGAGGGGAAAATAGCAGATGAGATATATCATGTATGCAGTAATGATCTTCTACAACTATTACGGCTGGTTTGAAAGACCTGCCCCTCTATTGTACTACACAAGAGTTAACACAACAATTTATTTATTGTTGGGGCAAAAATTGATGATAGAGAAAACTATGTGTAGCAGTCTCTTATCAAACCTACATCAACGTGAATTCAGCAGACTATTGGAGTGGAATTGTTGAGTAAGATGTTTTTTTATTTTTTTATTTTCATATGTTTTATGTATTTTGAAAAAAATGATTGGTGTATGTACTGATAATGAGTGAGAATTTATGAGATACTACTGAGAAAAAAAATGTGCTTATTCATACGTCTTTTCCTTCTTCCTTAACCTGGGTTGGGAGCACAATGGTTTAAGATCACTGTCTCTCTTTTAAGATCACAAGTTGTACTGGTTGTTACTTTCCTTTTCCTATGCTTCTCAATGTCTGAATGATCTCAATGGGTCACTTGTTAAGATCACACTGGTTAATGTATGCATTGATTGCTCTGTTCTGTCTGGTTGCTGATCAGATGAGATGATGATCCGACATGATGAGATGATGAAAAGTTGGAATGAGGGGGGAAAGCCCCTCCTTAAATAGTCTATTTTACAACCCAGCTGACTTGTGGTTCTAGCCCTAATCAATAATCTATAAATGGCCAACTTGTGGTTCTAGCTCTAACCTATAATCTATAAATGGCCAACTTGTGGTTCTAGCCCTAACCAATGATGAATATGCATCTAAAAAATATGGCCAAATTGTGGTTTCCCGCTATACAAAAATTCTCAGTGTACAGTGCCCTCCCAGATGTATATAGCCAACTTGTTTGGATGACACAACCCTAACCCACCAACTTGAAATCATGAGACTTGGGCAAGTGGTATAAAAGAGGTTTCAAAAAATGATTTTGAAAACAAAAATATGAAAAACTGATTTTTAAAATTTTCAAAAAATATTACAATTATTGCACTCTTTTCAAAAGTCTCAATATTGCTCCAAATGAAAAAATAAAAATTGGAACTTGGAGTATGGTATGTTGGAGAAATGATAATAAATGAAAATTATGATAAACTAACTACCAGATTGTTTTAAACTGGTGTGGAGGGAGACATTCATCAGTCTCACAGTGGAAAAAACAGTGGAGGAGGCAGTGCTATCAAATTCAACTTGTGTTTGGAGCTGGATACTGGGGTCCAAATAATTTCTGGTGTTGATTTTTTTCATTTATAATCATTCTTCTTGCATACCATACCACTCTTTGAAATTTTTATTTTTTCATTTGGAGCAATATTAAGACTTTTGAAAAAAGTGCAATAATTGTAAAATTTGTTGAAAATTTTGAAAATTGGTTTTTCATACTTTTGTTTTCAGAATCATTTTTTGAAACCTCTGTTATACCACTTGCTCAAGTCTCATGATTGCAAGTTGGTGGGTTAGGGTTGTGTAATCCAAAAAGATTGGCTATATACATCTGGGAGGGCACTGTACATACAAAAGATGTGGCCAACTTGTGGCTTACATTATGCAATAAGCATTTTTTATGCAAATAAAATTTAAAACCCAAATAACTTTTGACTGAGTGGAGCTAGCCTAGTGGTTTCAGTGAGTGACTATATGTTAAATGACCTGTAGAATGTGATTATAATTTATGACATAATACTCTTAAGAATATATGCCCTTCTCAATAGTGAACTGTGACTTGATGCAATTTGATACTTGAAACACAATTGGCATACTACAACGGGGTTCAGAGCATCCACATCAGTCGTTAACTTAGAGCGGATTAAGGCACTCAGTCCAGCCTTGCAACCGTACCGGTCCAGATTACGACAGGATCAACTTGACTCAGATCTCCATTTGGACTAAATCTAGACCTCACTAATCCTGGGAACAGGTGCTTCATGTGTATTCAAAATGCATGAAAGCTTTCCTATAGCTGTTCAATTGAGTCAGACAAACCAACTTTAGATCCATAACCCATAGATCTAAGTGATCTCCTCCACCACCAATGCGGTTGAAGCCTAAAGAATAGCTTAGTCATCGACTAATCCAATCTTGCTAGCCCAATATAAGTTGTTGACTGATGCAGATGCTCTCAGGGTTTTGCGCAAATCCAAACCCCAGGGTTCAGGACTTGGGATGGCACTATGTTAAAACCCCAGAACCCCGGGGTTTTGATGTATCATAGGGAAACCATTTAGCAGCTTAAAAAACGTCTCACTTTTTTCTAGCTGACAAGTCCCAAGGACCGTCTGGAGAGGGTTGTTGCAGTTGTAAGTCAATTATTTCCCTATTCTATGGCCGACCGGGCCCTCCAGCCCATTTTTTCCCCTTTCTATTCTTTGGGAGTTGCTTGGCTACTGACCAGCCAAGGAGCAGCTTGATTCATCTTGGCTGGTTGGTACAGCCAACCGGCAACAGTGCTTTCCTCCCTGGCTGGTTGGTACAGTATGTACCAAACATCCAAGGAAGTGCACTTCTAAGTTCTTGAAATGTTGGTGCAGACTCACTTACCAGCCAAGATGGATTCTGGAGGATCCTCTTTGACTGGTAAGTGAGTCTGTAAACAGCTGGGGAGGGTACAGACTGCATCAATCAGCCAAGAAGATTTTTTCCTTGGCTGGTTGACTGGTCAAAGAGGATCAACACCACTCCTGAATAAAAAATCAAGACCCCAGGGTTCCGGGGTTTGTTCATCAGGATTGGCCTCAAACCCCATCCCAAACCCCGGGGCCATGCCTTACAATTGACTCCTATTGCTACTGCAGGAATGGGAGGAGCAACTCCCATGGCTTAGGGGGAGCCGGGTTTTAGGGGCTGAGAACGTCCTCGGACTGTCCCCAAGTGGTCCTCCCAACAACTGCCAAATTTGGGAGTTGATCCTCCCAAGCTTGGGAGTCAATTAGCTAAGGCCCTATATAGAAGTTATCACTTGTTTTTAGGCTGGATTCCCTCCACTGATGCTAATTTTATTTTTATGCAGCGGCAGTGCATTCAAATGATCTGCACCCAAGCTCCATCTCCTTTCCCCGTTTGAATGAGTCACACTACTGCCAACGGGATACCTGTCCATCCAATCACCAAGTAGCAATTGTCAGCAACTGCGCCCAGAGGACAGATGTGGTTTGGGGGCAAGGAAGAAATTAGAGGGACATAGACGGCTTGGACAACACCGAGCAACAGAGGGCTAAGAATGTCTAGGGCTCTGTGCCGATTGACTCCAGCATGACTGGGTCCTGCCCGCACAGATGTCTTATTTCATTTCAGAATATTTATTTCAGCTTCTTATTATCTCAGCTTCTCTCACTACATATTTTTTTATTACAAACATAAATTATTTCATATTGTCTCTTTTCAACAATATTTATTTCATACTACACATTTTTCAGCCACCTTTATTTCATAATCACTTGTCTTTCAGATACAACTTATTTCATAACAAATTATCATTTCATCTGATATCTTACCACTAGTACCTGATCAGAACCAACCACATGTATATAGAGACTACTCCTTTTCATTTACTTTGTTCCCCATGCTTGCATTAGAGAAGTAAACAGATAATTACTTAGCAGACATCACTTGCTAGTAGTTACCAGAAGTAATTATTATTGATTTTCCCCCAGAAGATAAGAAATTGAACCCAGAAACCATTATACCCCAGAGCCTCATCCTTACCAAAATTCCCCACATCCTCACAGCGGTGGGCCGCTACGCTACACTACGCTACGGGCCCATGTAGCGTTAGCGTAGCAGCGCCAATTTTTTTTTTCGTGTAGTGTTAGCGCGCTGCTACGGCCGCTGCGCTACGCTAACTTGTAGCGGCGCTAACACTAGCCATTTTTTGGTGTAGTGTTAGCGCCCCGCTGGCGCCGCTACGCTGCGTTACGCTACGCTACAGCGTTTTTAGCGGCAAAAAACGCCAAAAAACCGCTAAAAACTGCTGTAGCGCAGCGTAGCGGGCGGTTTTTTGCGCCCTGTGCGCGTAGCGTTAGTGCAGATGGGGAGAATTGCGTTAATGCTAAGCTAAACGTTAGCGCATTGTTTTGCCCTGTGCGCGTAGCGTTAGCGCTGAAAATGAAAAAAGCGCTAACGCTACGCTACATTGTAGCGATTTTTCGCTACACTACGCTACACTAACACTACAGTTAGCGTAGCTGGCCCACCGTTGATCCTCACACTCTCAACAGGTGCCTTGTACAAGACATCAGTAATAAACCTCATACTAAGATTACCCACAGAAATAGCCACACCTTTTCTTTAATTCTTAGTGTAACTCTCTCCCAAGCCTTGACAAGAGGGCAGCTTTATCAGCATCCAAGTCTTCAACTTACATTTATCCCTGTGTAGTTGTTCTTTTCCCCTCTAAGCTCTTATGTTTAGCTTGAAAAGTTCCACAGCAACTCTGTGAGAAAATGGAGGAAGATACACTGAGAGTGGGTAAGAAATCAAATTGAGCGGTAGTTGGTACATGGATGTGTCAAGGGAAATACTGAAAAATGAAAAAGAAATCCATTGGTGTAGTCACCGGTGGGTTTAGTGTGTCTGTTGTCATGTTTTGAGCTGGTTGTTTTTGTTTTTGGCCGGGCTGGGTGCCAATTGTGTAGTGGTGTGTGTAATGCCGGGTGCCAATTGTGTAGTGGTGTGGGTAATGCTGGGTGCCATTGTGTAGGGGTGTAATGTTGGGTGCCGATTGTGTAATGGTGGGTGTAATGTATATATGTAGTGCTGTGTGCGGGTGTAAGACCTGTGATGTGTTGTGATAGTTGGTGTGTAAGGATAAGACCCGTGATGTGTGTTGGTGGGGTTGGTTAGATGTAATGGGGGAAGGGTGTGTATGAGTGGGGGAAGGGGGAAGGGCTGGAAAGGTGGACTTTGAAAAAATCAGGTGAGAGGCAAGCAGATGGGGGGACTTAGAGATTTTTAAAGGTAAAAAATAGCTGGACATCCAGATGCCCCTGGAAATCCTGGAAATGCAATAGTGTATACAGGAAAAAAGCCTACTATATGTACCATTAGAACATTGAGTGAGGCGCCAATTATAAACACCGTTTTGGAAATATTTCCAAAACTTTTTACAAACATTTTGATTTTCATGATAGTCAGGAATCTGGCAAAAAAAAAACAAAACAGGTCCAAAGGAGCCCATGGACCTCCTTTGGACACGTTTTGAGCTCAACAAAATAATTTTTATCACAACTACAGGCAAACAGGAGGTGTATTCAACACCCTCATTGAGTGGACCCTCTGTACCATGCAGTGGTATACTAGTGTAGTGCACAAAATCTTGACGAGATCAATTTGGGATCAGGTTGGGTGCGTCAGTGACAGGGTCTAGCCATCTCCCAAGCCAATATTCCTTCTGTCTCTCTCTCTCTCCCCCCCCCCCCCCCCCCCGTGTGCCTGTTTTTGGTCATTTGGTGTTGTCACTTGTCTCCATTATGGTCAACTTGGGCAAAGATACCAGCATGGCGTGAGGTTTTCTGGAGCCAAGTCCAAGTGTGTTTGGTCACCTGTGACTGGTGCGGGGTGCAAACTTTTATAACTGCAACCCCGTTTTGAATTTGTTTTGGAAATGTTTTGGCACAAAAATCTGCGCTTTCAAAAAGCCAAAACCCACTGCAAAAATGTTTCAAAAATGTTTCAAAAAAATTGCCAAAATGTCGTTTATAGTTGGCACCTGAGTCTATCTAGGCCCCAATTATAAACTGATATTTTGAATTTTCAGAATTTCTAATCAAAAACCATTTGAAAACGTAACAGAAATGAAAAAGGAAAAGGAAAAAAGTTCGAAATTTATTTCAAAACACACTCAAATAATTTGGACAATTATGGGCCCAATTATAAACGACTTTTTGGAATATATTTGAAATAATTCGAAAACTGTTGCAACTTTGTTTGGCTTTTTTTATTATTTCTTTTTTGTCTCAAGACCTATCTCAAAAGCTCTCAAACCACCTGTGGAGGTGGATTGAATCTCAAAAAGCTTGGATGGACAAAGATTACAGATCTTTATGCCTGTAGTTCGCTGTATGGTCGCCGGTACTGACCTGTATGATTTATATGCTTACTCGGTACATACCTGTATGATATATCTCCTCATAGGGCTGTACAGACAGGCGGCTTCGGCCTTTGGTGTTGGTTGTCAGCGGGTTTGCTGGACTGCACACCCGGAACATAAATATTTCTTATAGTCCTTGGCGACCCAACATGCAACCGGGGCACCTCTATCATCAAGGCAAGCACGAGCCGATTTTTACCACGGGCCCAATCAAATGGGTTCCCATATGCATACTTGCAGGAGTCTCCTTGACCCCGACGCACCCTTGGATTCCAACAAGGACTATCAACACGGCTACCAGAGCACCGTGATTTACGAGGTCTCTATTGGGGGGTGGGGGATGACCCTGCCTGGGACCCAAGAAGCAATGCCCACGGGGACCCTCATTCTGATGTTTTATAATTGCACATTGTGTTCGAGTGTTATCTGAAATAATATTTGAACTTTTTTTTATTTCTTTTTCATTTCTATTTCATTTTCAAATGGTTTTGGAACACAAAAACACAAAATCCAAAATATTGGTTTATAATTGGGGCCTATAAAACCCTCAATGTTTGAAGGGCCTTCAGGCCTTCAAACACCACCAACCAGTTGTTCTGGGGCACATTGGCCGGGCCTTCAAACACCACCAACCAGTTGTTCTGGGGCACATTGGCCCAGGGCCTTCAAACACCGCCAACCAGTTGTTCTGGGGCACATTGGCTCACCGGTGGGGTTAGGGACATGGAGCAGTTGTAATTTTTCATGATTGCATAGATTCAAATTTATGGCACATCACAACAACATGGGTTTACACAGGCAAGGCTATTTTACTGAGCATGAGGGCTAATCGGACGATGGTCCATTCGATCTAAGCTCAGATGGTGATGGTATAGGCTGACAATGGGTACACCCTGCAACTCGGGGCAGTCTGCTCGGCTGGCCTGGTTGGCCAGGAAAGATCTTTGGAAAGATATGTATGAACCCAGGGCACCAGAGCTTGATGGACGTAGTGCCCCGGTACCATGTTGTGTTGCCAACGGGGTCAATACATTGTTCCGATGGGTATGAGGATATGTGAATCCGCAACCAAGCGGAAGCACTTCGATTCGCCCAGCCTGTACATACATCCCTGTAGGCATTGCAACCATACAGGGATGTACAGGCAAGAAGTTGTGTATTGTTTGTCCATGCGAGGTTTTTCAGACTCAAACCACCTCCCAAGGAGGTTTGAAAGAGTTTGAGCTCGGTTTTGAGAGGAAAAAGAAATGGTAAAAAAATCAGAAAAAAGGTGCAACATTTTTCAAATTATTTCAAATATATTTGAAAAGAGTGTTTATAATTGGGGCCCTATAGTATAGAACAGTATATTAATGGCCTTGGGTGCTGTTTTGACCGATTTTTATAGGCGCGGCTTATTTTGTGATTGCGGTAAATAGCTGAATTTTCCGATTCGCGAAAGAGGCGTACCAGTCGAGCGTCTTGTTCCGCTAGCCGTGCCTATTCTCATCATAAAAATAGAATTGATATGTATTCAACTTTTGATTGAAAGTTTCTCGAGATGGTTCAAAAAAGATCAACCCCAAGTAACTTACATCTTGACAAGCGGGGCATGAAGATGCTTCAATGTATCGGGGATCCACACAGGCCTTATGAGCAGTGTGACCCTCAGTACAAGTGGGTGACTTGAACATCTCCTGACTATTCGAAATGGCCGAGGTACAGATCGAACATAACGACATGGATTCTTGCTGAATGGATTACACCGCATCATCATAGGAAAAAGTGTGAGGGCTTTCGCTTCCTGGTGATGTTGAATACGTGCATAAGCTCAAAAAAAGTTAATGGTCAATGACTCACACTCCGAACTTCATCCCCGACAGGGGATCCATAAACGAGACTTGATACTCCAAAGAGCTTTGAAGGAACAAAGGGTATGATCCTTTTTTAGAATACGTAAATATCATGCTAAAAAGAAAGAGTGACTGAAATGTCTTACCACAATCAGTCTCAAACTTTGAACTAAGAGCAACATTTGTGAATAAAGGAAGCTGGTTAAACTACAGACTGAGCGGATGGGAATAGATTGTTCCTGAAGAGTGATATGGGAGGCAAGCTCGTCTTGTGATGAAATGAAGACTTGGGTCCCTAGTTATCCCGCGCCATACCAAACTCCAAACTTGCTTCCATGCAGTCAGGGCACCTCTTTTGAAGCCCATACAATCACATTCCTCGGATCGTTTTGGAGAGGAAAGCGTAGTAGAAATACCCAAGCGCACATGAAGTAACAGCAGAACAATGAAGATCGATTAGGATCAATTTCAGTTTATGAATAAGATGGCAGTGGGAGGACGTCATCAGACGAGTGTTAAAAGAAGAAGTACACACATTTCAGTTGAATTTTGCGCCAGCTTTGCTACATATCGGAAGCGTCTGAGCTAGTCAGGGACGAACATAACACAAGTCTTGTTTCCCTGCTGGGTCGGCGTTAGCATGCACAGTGGTGAAACACTGTCGCATTGCGAGACCCTGCGGGACTGCCCTCCGGGCTCTCACTCGAGTCTGTCGGGAGGCTTGTGTTAGCACCTGTGAACCCACCCGGATATGATACTCTGGTACAAGAGCAGCCATCGTGTGCAGGGCATCACAAGGCATTTTGGCGGGGGAATTTTCTTCTCTGAGTTCGCCAAAGCTCGGCCCTTATGCCCCAGATTTGCCCCTCAAGTTCGCCCAACCAAAAGACCACACTTGAGCTTTTTTTTCCTCCTCCTAGTCCTTGTCTCCAAAATAAAAAATATAAGGGTGGCCCTCACGTAAGGCACACTTGATTGATTCCACTTTATGATTCTTTTCTGTTTTTACTCTTCGCTCGTTTCCCTGTTCTACATGCATGTTAGTGATTGGCTCTGTTTATTTCAGTTGTTTTCTTGTCTTTTGCTCAAAGCGTTCAAGACTCGCTTCGCTGAAATGTATACAAAATAATGTATACAAAATCCAAGTAGCAAGTGATTTTTCACAGCCCCAGTGCCACAATGTCCCGAGTCGTAATGAAATCCCACTTTCACATTGCTATCAGTGGATACAAATGTTTGAGTTACAAAAAAATTACCTCCGTGTTCTGTAGAACAGATTTTTTCAAGAGCGATAGGAAGTAAAAACAATTTCAACACATTTTTAACATTCAAAAATTGATACCCAAAGAAGCTGTCCATGTCCTGTTGAGATAACCTCGCTATTCAAAGCCTAATCGCTCAACATATTTGCGACTTCGGTTGGATGGATCTCTTACCCCACCCCATCACTTCCGCTTCGTCATTCACATTGATGTCCTCCAATCCAAGACCTCCCCGCTCCAATTCTGAAACACCTGACAACTCTGGTTGGAGAGAGCTTACCAGCAAAAAACAAGGATGCTCGGTTTGGGTAGCTACCCAGAGCTACCCCATGTATCTGCTTCCATAAGCCCAAAACATCCTTTTCCCAGCTTCCAAGTAGGGTCTTGTGCTTTAATAACTCATCTTCCAAGAGATGTTTCACAAGACCCAACTTTACGGCCTCTTCACATTCTCCCAAGTTAATTGAGGTTATTGATCCATTTTCAGATTGGTGGTTCACAGTTTCGGTATCAGCAACCTCGCTACCATCGCCATTGATCTCATTAAGAGCTACCACCGTGTGGCGAGCTATAATCAACAACCGAGAAGTTTTGGGTGACTCAGAACATTTGCAGCAGCCAAATATTTAATGAGCATACCAATATCATCTAATTTGGAACATATAGAAGCATGATGCTGGACAGCTCAATACATCGCACTCGTCAGCTCTTGAGCAATCAACATGTTTTCTTCTTGACTCCTTTTGACAGCCAACATTGTCTGGATACCCGCTCGGACACATGTATGCCATGAATTTAAGTGGTTGAGAGATAAATATATAAATATAACTGGTGGACTGGATTAAGAAACCCCAACGTCCATTTGACTCACCAGTAGGCCGTGAATCCATCCTGCTCCCATGAAGCTTGTGGAAAATGATTCCTATTGGAAAGAAGGAAACATGGGATTCAAGTGCAGTTAAATATGGCCTCTGTACCAACTGTGTTTTTCAATAATGAACATCCAGTACAACCAGTCACTTTAATCTGGATCATTTTTATTCCTTGTACTGGTTTCCTGACCAGGTCTTACAGTTCTTTCATCATCACAGACAAGGCCACTCATGCATTCTTTACATTCAAGAAAAGGTGGAATGAATTGTGTTCACTGAACAAATAGCACATTACATTTACATCACAGTGATCAAATGATCATCATTTCATTTCAATCTTAATGATCATTCTGTCTGGCTTTCACATATAAGTGTGCATACTTTAACAAAAAAAACCCACTCTTTAAAAGAATGGTAGTAACTAGATCATAGATTTATGTTGTTGAAAAACTAACTTATTCCAGTTATCACATGACATGTGACTTTAATTGGTTTTGTTTTCCTGCTTTCAAAGCACGAAAGAGAGGAAACATCTGATTTTGGGTTAGAATTTTACAGCAGTTACTATAAGAGCAGTGGTGGTACTTCTTTGAATGCTTAATCTATCTATCTAGAGATGGTGAAATTGAACAGATTTACCCAACTGAATATGGTGAATCAATCAATGAGGGCCTGTAACATAGCACCCCAGCCAATTTTCATTTTCATTTTCATTCTTGATGTTTTTATTTTTTACCAAGCAGAATTCATTTTGGGGTTGGCACTGAAAATAAGGCTTCTGTACGGTGGGAAATTGGGTGTGCATGGTACACCTTTTCCAGTGGGGTCAATTTCCAACTTGAAAATTGGAAAATGAACTCAAAATCGGGGTTGTGGTGCAGGCCCTATTCTCTCTCCCCCCCCAATCAATGGATGCATTACAGCATTCCCTTCTTTCCAAACTCAATTTCTTATTCCATATTCCAATCTAACCTGGGGTGATTAGAAAAGTGAGCTATGCAAAATCGTGTAATGTGATACCAAGTCAACTCTCACAGCTGAGATGTTGGTGGGATGTGACCACCATTTCAACCATTTAAACCATCACAAACCCATCCTATGAGTTAGGACCATGTTTGAAGATTCAAAAAGGTTAAGATGGTTGAGTGGATCCTGGAGTTTGCTTCCAGTTCCATCAAGTCTGATACACTGTGTTCACTTGATGTATTTTTTATCTGTGATCATCAGAAAAGAATCATCATGATCATAGATATTGAGGTGAGTTATTTTGGTGGTAATGATGGTAAAAGTAATTCCACCAATTAGAAGATGAGATTGAGAAGATTACTCAATTCTTCCACTAATGCTATCTATATTGATGTTAAGGATAAGAACTTGGCACAATTGTGACTATTACAAAACTATTGTGAATGTTGTGAGGATTTTATTATTCAAAATTCATACTTAGAGTGTTCACAACATAAATTTCAAGGGTAAGATCCTATTTCTTGATTTTTGGATTCAATTTTTTACAACATAAATCTTAAGGTCTTTCTCAGCAAGATTTTGAAAAATTTATGAGCTGGTCATATTTTGGTGTTTCTGAACAATCTGTATAACCTTTTAATTTTTGAAATAATTAAAAATGGAATTTGAAATTTGGTCTTTCTTTGTGTCACAATAAAACTCTTTTTGAACAGGAACTGCCTGTCTTGGAAGAATCCAGATGCTCTTTGTACCACATAGGTTTTTTGCAAAAAAAATAGAAATCATCAAAATTTGATAAATGTGATCCATGGAGAGGGTCCACAATTCCTCCCCAAAAACGTTTCATGACAGTCCCAGGCCATATGATGTGTTGTTTTTATTTTATTTTATATTTATTTTTTGAAAGTTGAACTTTATTTCAGCTTTTGGCATTGAAAAAGAGTGTTTCTGTAGCTCAGGGGGTTCCAAAACGGCTATGGTAGGCTCATCCGGATCATTCACACATTCCCAAACAATTTAATGAGCTTCTTATCAATTTCTGCTAAGTGTAAGACATCTAAATTGTCTAGAGATTGTTCCTTGGTATCCGCCAGGTGGTGCCGGTTTTTGGGCAAAAAAAAACGTGTGGTACCTGCAACGGTGGGCCAGCTATGCTAACTGTAGCAAAAAACCGCTACAATCTAGCGTAGCGTTAGCACTTTTCTCATTTTCTGTTCTAATGCTACACGCATGGGGCACAAAATAGTGCTATTGTTTAGCATAGCGTTAGTGCAATTCCCCTCATCTGTGCTAACGCTACATGCACAGGGCGCAAAAAACCGCTCACTGTGCTGCATTCCAGCAGTTTTTAGGCGTCTTTTGCCGCTAAAAACACTGTAGCGTAGCGGCGCCAGAGGTGCGCTAACACTACCCCAAAAAATGGCTAGTGTAAGCGCCACTACAAATCAGTGTAGGGCAGTAGCGACACGCTAACACTACACAAAAAAAGCAGCTGTTGTTGCCGCTACGCTAACGCCACGTGGGTCCGTAGCGTAGCGGCCCACCACTGGTACCCGGGTACCACCCCCAAACTGACTCTTGACCGGAAGGGTTTCCTTCTGGTCAATGAGGTACATGAAAATTTGAGCATATGAATAAAACCATTTTTCCATTCCAATCCAAGGGTCTAAGAATGAATCAATTACTGATTAATCCATCCCTATGATCTTCTTGACCAAAATGCTTGGGCTACTACTCTAGAGAAAAAAGTGGTTTCTGCCCCCAATTTCCCACATCTTGCATGACCCCCTTTCAGCTCATGCAATGGCTTCATGTTTTTTTTCAGCCCCCCCTGTTGTAGCAGAGGGAAGCTTCTGGTAGTACAGGGGGGGGGGGGGCATACATACACGGGCCTGCAAGTTGAAGCTGTGCCTTTGTTTTGAATATGAGCTTGTAGGTTTCCATGAAGTCTATGTATGCCAAGACTTTCTACTGGGGAATCATGGTCCTGAGGATGGTTTGGCCTTGTGAGTTTTTCTTTCAGAAAGCTGTTAAGATTATTGTATGTATCCATGTTTCAATGTTGGCTCAGCTCAACTAGAAATGCTATTAAGAGCTTGAGGTGCATCTCTCAATAGCTCCAAGCCAGGATATTCTGAACCAGCTAGCCAGGTTGGCTGGCAGTGAGCTAGTTCAGTGACAATTTGCATAACCATGTAAGAATCATCTTGGGTTATTGATCAGTCCAAGAATTTCCACAAAAGGGCAGTTCACATGTAAGATCAGTTTAGCAGAATGTGAACGGCCCTATCAACATTGTGTAGCTGGTAGAATGCCTGAGTTTGAAAATCTCTTTGAGCTATGTGTTTGCTATCACCTTTTTTGCTCTCCTCTGGTGATGATTGACAGCTTGATAGGTGCAGGCTTGCAGCTTTGACAGACAAAAAGAGGTTGGGTTCTCAAAGGACTGAATGCTGAGTTTGCTTATGTTAGTGGGTCCGCCCAGCTCGGCAGATGAAACTCTAAAATTTAAACCCCCCTTTGAGTTCACCCTTCACCCAACAACCTACTACATATCACCATCAACCACCACGAACGACTACCTCACCAGCACCTGATCAACAACAACAACATCAAAAACCAAAAACGAACACAACTCAGACTGAACGCAATCGAATCCCGAAAGCGATGGACTCACTGCATCCCTCACTCTCGCAAGCTCTACCTCTCAGGGACTACGATGCCGAACAAGCTCTTCAGGCTCCTTTCAGGGCTGCCGCTCTCGGTATCGCCACCTTCTACAAGAAAGCTTCCGAAAACGGTCGCAAAGGTCTGTTCTTCTTTTTCATTCGAAACTCGATGTCCTAAACATCTCAAACCGATCGAGTTTACCTGTTTACTGACTCCCCCCCCCCAAAAAAAAAATAATCGTTTTGGTTTCTTTATATGATAGCTTATTCGTTAGGTTATTCTTCTGCTCTTCAGGACGTTCTTGCTCATCTACAGTTGGTCCTCATCTCTCTCTCCCTCTCCTCAATCTGGTCACAACTGTTTCATTACTTCAAAAAGCTGATTCTAGAAAAACAAAAAACTAAACACTTCCTTTTCTGCTTTCAGGACTGCTCTAGATCAACTCGATTCACCAAATTCTTCTCAAGAGTCGATGGCAATAACGATTCAACGAGTAGTAGATTACATCCAAGTGAGTTTATTAAAAGATAGAGCAAAGAATAGTTCTGTGCGGATTGACTGACCGATCCCGAAATGACAGAGACGACAAGAAGCTTTACGAGCCGAATCACAAGAACCAAATGAAGAAGAGGCAGCCCAACCCTCTCCAGCCGGCGGAGGCCAAGGCCGGCGACAATCGACTACGCCGCCCACCCACAGCACCCTTTCGCCGCCCTCCGAACAAGCACCAGCAGCCCCAGCGGCCCCGGACCGTTCTTCATCCTCATCATCCAGTGTCCCAGCACCCCCAGAGCCCAATGTGACGGTGGCCCAAACGACTCGACGCCGGACCTCGCCACGACGGATGACACCGGCAAGCTTCCAGCCCTCCCAGGGCGCCCTCGGCTTCGGCTCCGTCCTTCGTCAACCCTCCTCCTCTCCCTCCTCTACCAACAATCTCTCCCGACACCCTTTCAACCTCAACTTTAGCTCCTTCGCCGCTAGTCCTTTACCCCAACATCACCAACTCTCTAGCTCGACTGGCCCGACAAATACCTCGTCGACGACGACTACCACTTCCTCGCTCGGTCGGCGTCATCGGAATGGACTCAATGAGAGCGGCCGGAAGGGCAAACTGAAGGAACGCAACACCACCGAACGATCTTCTTCTGCCTCCTCTCTCGACCCTATCGGCCTCTTCCCTCCGCACGGCTACTCCCACTACTCTTCCTCCCCTCCTAACACCAACACGACTTCCAACACCAACACCACCACAGCTTCGACTACTACTCATCCTTCCTCCTCTGATGACTCCAAAACAACTCTCACTTCTATCGGCAATAATAAACGCAGGTTTCCCGTCGATTCGCCTCTCGATTCTTCGCCGCTTATCGGCCCTCCTCAACCGGTTTGTCTCACTCCTAGAACTCCTAGTTGCATTCTTCTGACTCTGACTCTTTTTCTAAATCTGACCCCCTACTAAACTCCATCGATCTTTTTCGTATTACTCTAATACTCATCCGTAAATTAAAGCTATTACGCATGGCGTCAACGGCTACAAACATCATTGATTAACTTCCAAATCCGGATTCAGAAACATACTACTCATCATCATCATCCGGGTCAAGACGATGTGCTTATGCTCCTCCATCATGCCGGCGATCATCTCGTTGACGACCATGATCATCCTCATTCTCATCAACATCAAGAGCCTAATACTACTACTATTGAAAGAGCTTCTAAACGCTTCTTCTCTTGTAAAAACCTTTACTCTTAATCTCTCATCTCCCCCCTGTTTCTTTACCCTTTGTTGCTCTCTCTCTCTCTCTCTTTTTCTATGAAAAACAAAACAAAAACACTTTTCCTTTTGGTTTACTTATCTCTGTCTTTTTTTTATATTGTTATTTTTATAGAGAGATATTCCATCAGATCATCTTTTTTTTCTATTTAATCAACGTAAAATCAAAGCATTGAAAGATACATGAATTCTTATTTATTCTTGCTTTTTTCTCCAACTGTCCCTCTCTTTCTCATGCATGATGTTTTGGTAGAGAGCTGAGGTCTGCAGACTTCTTTTTTAAAAAACAATTTTCTCTCTTCTTTTTTTTTGGGAGGGGGGATGTTTACATTAATGCTCTTGATTTTTTTTTGTGGGTTGTCTGATGTATCATTCTACAGTCAAACCTGTCTAACTGCATACCTGTATAAGGGCATAAACTCCCATACTACATACTCATTTGAGTCCACCAAATTCTCATTTTTGCCCTTAGCCTACACTTGTAACCACATAACCTGCCAAACCACATAACAAATTCTTTCCACCAAGGGGTATGTGGTTAGAGAGGTTTGACTGTACCAACGTTTTCATCGTCATCTCCATTTCCACTTCCTCTTCCCCCTTTTTTTTATACTGAAATATAACACACTCATATCTTCAACTCCTTTCTTTCATATAACCCTTCTCTTTTTTCAAAAAAAAAAAAAAAAAAAATCTGGGCCTGGTTGGTTGATTTGTTTTCTTCCATGTGTGTGTAGTAGTAGTAGTAGTTATCTTGGACCAGACTGATCACCAAAACTATACACAACAAACCAAGAAAAACATGTTATAGAATCTTAGTTTTAGGCTCTACTTCAAATTCAAATTCAAGTACAAATACAAATGATGTGCAAAAACGGACAGCAGATGTGGACAATAAAAACAGACTCACATATACATGATTCTCCCATTTTTTCATTTCATTTCTTTTTTATGACTTGTGATGAGCGGAGGAGGATTGGAAGTATCTGAGAAACGTCTTTGTTTATACAGTCAAACCTGTCTAACTGCATACCTGTATAAGGGCATAAACTCCCATACTACATACTCATTTGAGTCCACCAAATTCTCATTTTTGCCCTTAGCCTACACTTGTAACCACATAACCTGCCAAACCACATAACAAATTCTTTCCACCAAGGGGTATGTGGTTAGAGAGGTTTGACTGTACAGTCAAACCTGTCTAACTGCATACCTGTATAAGGGCATAAACTCCCATACTACATACTCATTTGAGTCCACCAAATTCTCATTTTTGCCCTTAGCCTACACTTGTAACCACATAACCTGCCAAACCACATAACAAATTCTTTCCACCAAGGGGTATGTGGTTAGAGAGGTTTGACTGTAATTGGGTTTGGTGGAATAGACCAAACCAGATCAACTTGTTTGCATGGATATATAGTCTTCTAAGGTAGTTGTATTTTCTTGTCCTACATTCCTCTCATTTCATTGTTAACTTGACAAAGTTCCTCTAAAATGTATTTGGATGCTGGAGTAAATCATACTATCACAGAGAGAGGGAGGGGGGGCGGGCGGTTACATTGGACTAGCTGGGCCAAGGTCTCAGTCCCTCAAGCATCTGCAGCTGGCCTGGCTGTGCAATCAGATGGGATGCAAGGTTGTTTCTTTGAGCCAAAGGTTAGCATCACACAGAATCAGTGCCATGTTTTTGAGAAGAATCGTGGGCCCCTGTTTACATTAAAGATGGAGAATCTGAATGCAATCTAATGGTCCCTGTGTCCTGATCTCCACAAGTTGTGCACAGAAACAAACATCTCATAACTGTGGACAGACTGTTGACCTTGTGTTCTTTGTTCCATGCCAACTTTTGTGATCCCAATCATGATCTGATTTGGCGGGCTCTTTCTGAGCCTATTCTTGAGATGAGATGGTGGGAAGCTCAGCTGTGTGCCATGATGAATATCCACTCTCTTAGCAATTCAGTCAATTGCCAAGGCAAAGACTCAAGAGTGCAGTTGGATGAACTATTCCTATGCCCTTCAGGGGCATGTATATGTGGAAGCCAACTGCATATTAATCACAGGCCCCAAGTTTACTATTGGAAAGCAAATATTGGTTCATGATACTCCTCAAGGTGTGGGTCAAAATCCATGGAGGCTCATAAGCAAGGTGTAGGTAGTATCCACAGGCAAGATTCAAGTGAAGCATTGGCAATTCAGCCAATAAACACACTGTAAGTAGGGACAGCATCAATGGATTTAATGCACAGGGCTTTTTATTTTGGAGAAGCCTTTGGTGTTGAATAACTCATAATATATTCATACAGGCAGTTGACCCAACAATGAGGTGTGTTAATTTTGATGTATCATAAATGTGTATATTTGCATTCAAGAAATCAGTCAGGAGATTACTTGCAAGTTTAATGCAGGACTTCCCATTTCCCAGATGGCTTAATTTAGAGGGAATGGCTAAACTTTTTTTGCTGGTGAAATCTCAATGTTGAACAATTTTCACCAGAAAATAAGCTTTAGCCCTTCCTTCCAAATTAACAAATTTAGACAGCGGGAAGTCCTCCAATGATTGTTGAAATAGAGCATGTTGAGTAACTGGGAAAAAGTCTACAGAAGAGAAGTGTGGAGGACTTCACTGATGTGAGCATCCACATTAGGCTGAACTGGATTGATGAAATTGGCTAGCAGTGCATCTGCCACTAGACTTTTTCAATTGACAGTAGAGAGAAAAGTAAAATCAAGGGGGAAAAAAGCCAAATAAAATAGTGAATCAATCAGCAAAAGGAAACAAATGAAAACTATAGCTAAAAAGAAGGTTCAAGTAAAGATGGGAAGGCTTTTTGGGGCAAGTAGGTAAGGAAGGTAAGAGGAAAAATTCCAGTACCTTTACTTGATTACTAAAGCTGGTAAAAGTAGTTGAGATTTGTCAGGCTTTGCTTGGGAGACCTCATGTTTACCAGCAGCTTGGTGCGGGGCAGCATAGATTTCTGAAATGAGTTTTTGCCATCTTTCAAGATTGGGTCGGAGAACTCTGCGATCGTACTAGTTTCAAATCAAGATTTTTAAGTTTCTTCAATGCATATCATGACTCAAAACATGCGACTTCTTACAGTGAGTAATCCGTTGGTTTCTCCCTCAACATCAGTGGTTTGCTGTGAGTGAATGGATAAAAAATGCTGGTCAGTTGCTGCGTTCAACCTTTCGTGTTAGACATATTGCTAACAGTGTATACGCCACCGCTACAATTGAAAAATTGCGCTTGATCCCTCAGGTCCTCGACAAAGCGAGTAGCTCTGTAGTTCCAAATGTCGATGGTAGATGTGATTTCGTAAGTCTGATTCAAGTTATCGAGCTGGCTTTGGACGTTCCAGAGATTGTGCCGACCTGGAATGTGTCCGATTCCGCCGAATTCTCCCTGAACCGCTATCCTGTTCCTGGATGGATCGTAGGGTGAAGACGGCAGAGAGTAGAAAGGTGTTCCACATTGTGGATATGCTACAAGAAGGGAAGAAGGGAAACGGTCAGAATTCAGATGCGACACTTCAAAGTAGAACGGCTTACGGTAGTGGTGGTTATCATGAAAGTCACCTGCGCCATGGTCTGAAACACATTGTCAAAAAAATTAATCTAAATCAATATATGAGTTGACATCCTCCGATAGAAAAATCAAGATGAACTGCATGTCCGACCTACCATGAAAGCCTGTGACGTAGAGAACTGGACGAGTGGGATCAGAATTTTTTACCATTCGCGTCAATTCAAAGTCGGTTGTGTTAAGTTGTCCCCATCCTTCACTGGGAATTTAACAAATTGGCAGAAATGTATGGATGTCATTTTTCAGTATTCTTGAATTTACATTGATGCATTGAAAGAGCGCAAAACCCACTTATAAATTACCCAAGTGACGATTGATGGAAAACTCAAATGTTTCGTGATCATCAACTTCAATTGCCGTGCAAACTCGGCTTGCTGACCTGGTCTCGGCGCTGGCAAATCTGGGTTCATTGAGGGCATATCCTGGTGCATGGATGAGAGCGGAATATCGTCAGGCAAAGCCAAGGACTGAATTTTGGAAGAATCAACTCACTTGCCATACTAACATTACAAGCCCATTTGGTCACAGGCATAGTAGTAGAGGTCCGGCTCAATTTTTATATGTTTTCTAACCATATTAAAGCCTAAAAGCTTCAAAACCTTCAGGTCATAGGTCATAGCTTCAAATGTCGGAGCGGTGTAGAGACCTGTCGCGGAAAAAATAAGCGAGAAGTGTCTATAAATCACTGTAAACCTGTCAAATCACAAGGATGCTAACCATCGGGCCAGAAACCCTGATCGAGCGTGCCCAGTTGGAAGACAAATTCTCCGTTCAAGAAAGGTCGAACGATTCCAGCTCTGTCTTTTTTCTTCTCTATTGTCCGGAGACCGAAATGACTTTGAACGGTATCTTGTCTTAATTCTACTCTAAAGTGATAAAGATTTGGGCTTGTTGGGGACCAAAGCTGAGGAGAAGGCAACGTGAAAGTAACAAGGCTGTTGGCAGTTCCTTGATGCTGCTGAAGAGGGGTACCCAGAGTGACCGGATAGAGAGGTGAATCCGAAGAAGAGATTATTGGATTGTATACAGTAATCTTCAACTCTGAGTTGGAAGCGTGGTTTGAAGTGATGACCTTGATTTTTACTAAGAAGATTCGATGTGTGAGAAGAGCCCACTCTGCCAAATGATTTGGAATAAGTTACTCACCACTTCCATCGGCATGAGCGGTGGTCACAATGTCTAGTATATATTCCTTGGCCACTGGTTCAAGAAAGACCGTTTGCCAAATCCCACTAGTAGGGGTATAGAAATAGTGATTTGGCTTCAGAACTTGCTTGCCAACTATATGGAGAATTGCAAGTCAGTGTTAGCTCAACTCCTCAGGAAAGTATGAAAAAGGAAGGTCTATGTGATGAATTGGGAGTAGTTGCCATGAATAAGCAAACCAAGCTTACGGGGAATCACTTCGCCTTTGGAATTAGTCGGGTCATAGACAAACACCAGCAACTCGTTCTCTTCACCCGGCTCTTTGAGCGCGTCAGTCAAATCCAATGTAAATCTGAAATATCCTCCTCGGTGGAACCCAACATACTTTCCATTGACGAACACCGTGGCTAGATGATAGTTTTTGGAAGGGCGACATTATAAGTGAAGGCAAGTGACAACATACCAATCCGATGATCCGATCGTGCCATTTCTAAAAGTTTACAGAAAGCGTTTCTTTCAATTACATACCTTCATAATCCACCGCTCCAAAGTTCACCAAAACATTGCGACCCGACCAGTGCTCAGGGACAACAAAAGTTCTACGATACCAGCTGTATATGTGACTTTTCATAATCCCACTGAGCCCACTTTCCATCGGGAAAGGTACCAGGATTTCACTGACAAACCCACATCCCCCAAATGGTGGACTGTGGAGTTCTTGAGAGTTCTTGGCTGGTCTGAATTGCCATGGCCCGTTAAGGTTCATCCACTCTTGTCTTCTGAGCAACGGGCGAGGGTATTCGGGCCAGGGCGAGGAACCTACCTTCGCAGTCCAATCAGTTGTAAGTGGAGGAGTTTTGAGCCCATAAGGCTTGGGTGCCGGGCAATCCAAGACTGCAGCCGAAGTCCTAGAACAATGGAAAGAAAGTGCAATCAAGCCATTACAAACCCTGAAGTGTCAGTTTACCTCAAAAAATCGGGCAGCAGTTACCCCTTGGCCCTGAGTATCCGGACAAGTGGGCGGGCCTTGGCCCAATATGTTCATGAGTCCATCAGCTCATTGTGTATGTATATGTATCGTGCCATCGCGCCATGCATGCATGACCTTTATAGGGATTGAGGACATCAGCCGTGTCCGTTCCTTACTCACAGATTTATCATTCATGCATCTTTGGCTTTGGCAATTCGGCAATTCGGCAACTCGGCAGTCGGAAGCTTACTGTTATAAACATAGTGGCTCATGGTTCACTAGCCGAATCATAATCCAGATTTTCCGCCGGCAAGGTCTCGGATTTGGTGAGTTCCAAGACCTTGACCTCGACACGTCCTCCAACAACCAAGCCGGTTCACGAGGATCAATACTGCGCCACTCACCCGGCACTTCCTCGGTTAGCCGGCCCTGCCGTGTAATTCTCAGGTGAGCAGATCTATTGTTCCTATCACTAACAGGTACGTGCGTCGATCGGTTCATCAAATCAAATCAAATAGAAATTAGCGATCCCACCATCCACTATAGTTGTCATTCTTGGCTGACACCGCTCTGTATTTGTTTTCTCTGTCAGGTTTGGACCGTCCATCACTTACGCAGCCGAGAACTTAGGGTCGCAGATTGCCAGGCCTGCCTCAACTTCTCAAGGGTGAAGTTCTCAACAAACCGCTTATCAGATATACGCATCGTCTACATGGTATGTGTATTGGAACTTTTCAATCAACTCAATAATGATCATACAGGGCTTCCGTCTTATTCGTGGTGTCCTCTCAACTACGGTCTTGGTCCTGGAATATAAAAGTAAGTCCTCAATTGAGTTTTTCAATCAGTACACACCTTCCATTCAAACAGAACAATCCACACTAATACTTTGCAATTCGTTATTCAAGTGCACAGGCAATTAATATCACACAGATGCAGACCAAAAGCAATAATGCCGTGGCATTTCGACGCATATGTCACCCAGCCACACTCCATGGGCCTTTCGATATCATTGCCAGTGTATGTTAACAGCTTTAATTTAATCAATTCGTCTAATATAACTTACCTTTGCTTAAAGGCTGATCTTAATTACTTTCATTCTCACCATCTCCCATAGCTCGGTCAAATTGGAGGCGGTGATACGACCTTCGGTCAATTCCAATACGACACTACCATCGGCTTTACGGACCCTACCCACGGCGAAGAGACCAACATAATGATCAAGGCCAACTGCTACGGCTCGGTTCCAAGCGCCCTCCAAGCGGACAAAGTTTACATCCTTCACGGTAGATTGATCGCTCGCAACGAAGATGCGCCCCCAGTTCTCTTTTGCGAGCAAGAAGTCACTTTGAACATCGGCGATAGCTCCACTTACATGTCGGTCTTAGCCAACAAGGTAGTGGTCGAAGGTTTTGGTATAGTCGTCAAACGCGAAGAAGTCCCTGGATTCGGGATTGGCAATGTCGCACAAACCAACCTCCATGTCGTACTCCGTCACACCGATTATGACAACATGGTAGGTACATTCCTTTTACAAAATCATTTACTCGAGATGTGTTGTGTACCATTTGCTTACCTGACCGGCTCAATTTGGATATCATCATCATAATAAAAATAAAAATAGTCTCGCAACAAAGTTGAGTTCGAAATCATGTACATCGTCCCTGGCAACAAAATACTCGGTAAGACTTTTGGATTGTTCCGCCTTGGTCGCGAGACCGCCATCTCCGGTTATATTAGCGGCTATATCGCCAAAGATAAGATGTGGGAAGTTAAGTTAAATCTTTTTGATTGCTATCCACGCTGCATTCTCAAACAACCTTGCTGAATCATTGCTGACTTATCTCCCAAAACTCTTCAGGCAACCGCAGTTGCTCCAACTTCTGGTGATCAAGCAGCTTTAGTGGCGGCCCCTTCACGCGGTGCTTGCTCTGGAAACGTTCACCGTAGACCCGGATTGTAAGTACTCACCAATCAATCTCCATTCATGATGACGGTTCTATCCTTCAAGATGATAATAATCCAATGAAATGACAATGATACCCTGATTGCAACTAATTAACCAGGATACAGCTCGGCAGCAAACAAAACAATTCAACTCCACCTGAACAATCCACTAACAACGGTAGCCAAGCCGATGCAACTAAAGTCAACAACTACCGATCTCCTGCCGGTGCTGGACCTTCTGGCAGTGCGACTCTTCCAGCCATACCCGAGTATGAAGACGGAGAAGTTGCCGAAACTGCCCCTGAACCTCAATTTGTCAATACTTTTCAAAAGAGACAAACTCCGAAGGGGATGATCGCCGACGCGAAGAAGCACATGAAAGGATTGCAAGTCAATCGACAAACAATGCCAACACAAAAAAGTCCATATCATGAGTTTGTAGGCCATTCAAAAATAAAAAAAGTTCAGATTAACATATTAGCTATGCCTTGAAAACAGCATGTGATTCATCTCCAGCCTCATTTCCAATATCTTTATTACAGAAACTTTGCAGATAATATATATAAAGTAGATCATCGCTTCCTTTTCAGTTTGTAACTAAGCAATAGTACTGAAAGAAATTCATCAAATATTTTCCAGCCCAATATCCACCTGACGTCCAACCAAAAGCGCTCGGATCTCGGATTTGATATCCACAAGTTGGATTTTGACCCTTTTTGAGACGAAATCTGGCAAGATTTTGCCTTCAACTTAAAAGGTGATTCTCTTTCTTCCTATCCGTGAACTAGCTACCGTCACCAAATACAACATACAACATTACAACACAAGTAGCATAAAGCAGAATTTACAATTAGAATCAGAATCCAGAATCCAGTTTAGAATAGAATCCAGAATAGATACATCGACACATCGATAGATAGTAGAATAGCAGAAAATCACAATAACTGTAAGAAAGTCTGAATTGTTATCTAATACTTGACTGATACTCGACTGACAAACATAAGGGTTTAGTTTCTTCCGCTCCAGAAAATTCAGAAAACCCAGAAAAAAAAAAACAGATAAATAGAAGTCTCGCTTGAACTGTTCAATCTCGGCCATTAGCCATCACTCTTCAAGATTTCAAGAATAAAAATTCAAGAACATTCAATCAAAATCATCATCAGCTTCCTTGCTATTTTTTGTTGCCCAATTCAAATTTCAGATTTTTCCCAAGGTGGGTTGTCAAAATCGTTTCTAGCAAGATAGGCAACTGACATCACTTTCACTTCAGATTTCTATCTATTGACAATCCAGAGCTCTACTCAACCATCATTCAACTTATTGATCGATTGATTCATCCAGTCGCTTAATCCTAAATTCAATTTGTCCAGTTTAAAAACCCGGTAAGTTCCATAATTTCCTCACCACATCGTAAAAATAACTGTTCTATCGACTGCTTTGTCAATTGTAAACTAACCGATCCCTTTTCTTCTCCTATAGGTTTCCAGTAGCATATCAAAAATGGTCCAGCCAAGCATCGGTCGAGTCGTTGCAACCAACCCAACCAGTAACACTGAAGCTGAGATCGTTCGACGGTTCAGCAGCGAGATTCCTTTCAACATCGGTGAGATGAACGACATATGCCAATCCTGTGGCGCCCTTCACTGGAAACTTGAGAGGAGTCAAGGCGATACTCAAAAGGTTCAAGTTAGCTACTCGGCATGTTGTCAAAAAGGTTCGGCAACCCCGCCTATTCGATACAATAGCATAGATTACCCTGCTTTGCTCCGAGCGTTGCTATCAGGAAATGATTCAGGTTTGTTTACTTCTCCAATTTTTCAATTTTCTTTTGTCTTATCTGTACCACCAACTCTAAATACTCTAACAGTAGACAGCATGGCTGACCTTTTGATACAGTTTCCACAGAATTCCAACACCAAATCAGAGGGTATAACAACGCACTGTTGTTTGCCTCTTGCGGGGCTTCAGTCGATCGATCCGTTCAGGGGCAAAATGGAATCTACACATTTCGAGTTGGTGGGGCGTTGTTCCACGACATCGGTTCCGTCTTGCCCGACGGTGGGAACCAACCTTCCTTTTCACAAATTTACGTCGTTGGGGGAAATGATCATCAAGAAGCTTCCGTTAGAATCAGTCAAGCCAGGAGCTCCTTGAACGAGGGTTTATTGTTCCGACTCCAGCAATTCATGAACCAGAACAATTCTTACGCTCAATTCTATTGCTCGGTTAGAAACCACCTCGATGCCAATCCAGCAAGCAACTTTGTCCTGCGCAGCATCGAGAGGCCTGGGATGGATTTACGAGTCTACAACAGACCCCGAGTAGAAGAAATTGCAATGGTTATTGACCACGACAACCCAGACAAAATCTCTCCCCGTGACATCCTTTTGCGAAAGCATAGCGGCAGGTTGTTGCGCATCACAGATGATCACACCGGTTATCTCCCGCTTCGGTACCCCATTTTCTTCCCGTTTGGTGAACAAGGATGGATACGTGGATGGCCAAGTCCATCAAACCGGAGTAAGTCATCTCTTTTCACTAAATTGATTATGATTTCTCATCCTTATCCAAAACTGACAAAACTCAACAGGAAATACCATTTCGCAATGCGAGTGGTATGCTGCAATGCTCTTTGACCACCGCGAAGAGTTCTCGGCAATCCTCCATGGAAAAAATCTGTTCCAGGAGCTGTTGGTCGATCTCTACATATGTGTTGAGCGCTCTCGGCTCAATTTCTATCGATTCAATCAAGACCTCATCCGTGCCGACATATATAGTGGTGTCGAGGAATCGCTCAGGAACGAACTCAATGTTCAAGGAAGAAGGGTGATACTTCCATCCTCCTTCACCGGATCGCCAAGAAACATGATTCAGTTATATCAAGATTCCATGGCATGCGTTCGACAATTCGGTCCTCCATCTCTTTTCATTACCATGACAGCCAACCCAAGATGGATTGAGATCATCCGCGCCTTATCCACCCATCATGCACCCAGCGACCGACCCGATTTGGTCTCGCGAGTTTTCCATATGAAACTCAACTCACTAATCAAAGACTTGGTCAAGAATCAAAGACTCGGGACGGTTGCTTCTTATGTTTACACCATCGAATTCCAGAAGCGGGGCCTTCCCCACGCACACATCATCGTTATACTTGCACCCGGCAGTGTCCCTCAAACAACCGACGACATTGATTCATTAGTGACTGCCGAGATTCCCGACGAGCATGATGAACCTGAGCTACATCGAATTGTTACTCGATGCATGCTTCACGGTCCCTGTCACCCCGGTAGTATGTGCTGGAAAGACGATGGGTGCAGTAAGGGGTTTCCTAAACCCTTCCAAGCCACAACCACCTTCGTCGACAACGCTTATCCAACTTACCGACGCCGGGACAATGGCCGAGTCTTTATCAAAGGAAGGAAAGTATTCAACAACGGCCATGTTGTCCCGTACAACAAATATTTGTTGCTTCGATATGATTGCCATATCAATGTTGAGATACCTTACGGTGTAAGACTCAAAAGTGGTTGTGAAACCCTTTTGCTGAATGGAGAAGGGGATGGTGGAGTTGCAAGCTCTGCCCTTCTATGCTATCAGAACAACAAGACCACCAAGCTCAGCTTGGCAGTTTATATATCGTGATAGAGGATAGTTCGAGATGAAGCTGTCGAATGATTCGTATAACGGTTAAAGGTGTTTATGGTGATTGTTGATGATAATGTTGTTGTTGATGAAGTTGTTGATAGAGGTGTCAATGATTGTTGTCGAGGTTGAGGCTTGAACGCAGGTCCTTGAGGTTGATGGTATATAAAGTTAAAAAGAGTGATTGAGAACCAAGGCGCAGTTGATGGGAGAGCTATGCTTCAACCAGGAATGGAACGGAGGACCAGAACAGGTGGAGATAAGGTGGAGATAAGGTGGAGATAAGGTGGAGATAAGGTGGAGATAAGGTGGAGATAAGGTGGAGATAAGGTGGAGATAAGGTGGAGATAAGGTGGAGATAAGGTGGAGATAAGGTGGAGATAAGGTGGAGATAAGGTGGAGATAAGGTGGAGATAAGGTGGAGATAAGGTGGAGATAAGGTGGAGATAAGGTGGAGTTAAGGTGGTGTTAAGGTGGATGTCTTGAATGGGAATTGAACCCAGGTCCTTGTGGTTGGGGTGTATGAAGCCAAAAAGCAGTGGATTTCAGGCAAAGGTGAGATAGCTTGGTGGTTATGAAAAAAGTAATGTTGATATTTCTACACTATAAAGAACTGTTATAACATATATAAGGGGGGTTATAATTATAAAACCTCAATACTAGGTAGCTAATAATATTGAAGAGTGACCAGTGATGTAGTGTTATGGGGGGGACTGACTACAGAGCATCTGATGAGGAGGGAATACAACTGGAAGGCAGAGGCCTCCTTATATAGACAAAAGTGAGGGAATTTAGCTCCAGGGTACATGCAGGTGAGGGAATTTAGCTGGCCTGAATATCCAATGAGGGAATTTAGCTAGTGATAGCACAGCCTTGAGGGATTTTGGCTGGCCTACAAGGTCCTGCTACAAAGGAATGCATGTGCACCAACAAAGGAATTCAATATGTAATATGAGCTAGTAAAGGAATTCAATATGAAACAAAGGAACTCAATATCCAATATGCATCCAGTATTCAAATTGAGCTATAGTCAGAGTAAAGAATCCAAGAGATATCCTGTGATAGGTTGAAATAGGTGTAACTTCTGAACTAATAGAGATAAGGGGGTAGTTGTAGTGGGTGACTAGGGGTTATTTTACCTCAGGAATCCATTTTTGATGTTTCTTTTACCTTATATCTGATGTAGAAAAAGATGAGAATAATTTTTTATATTTTTGGCGTAGAAACACAGGAATAACTACCACAACGGTATCACTGCATTGAAGTATTTATTCAAATACATTACTAAAGGTGTCGACAGATCCCATATGAGCATGTCTGATGGCGATGAGACCAAAAAGTTTATCAACGGTCGCTACATTGGACCGTCCGAAGGTTTGTTTTTTATTCCCTTTTCTGTATCTGTATTGTTTAAACCGTTTCTCTTCATAATAATGACCATAGCTGGCTGCTGACACATAGCTACTACATTGACAGCTGCCTGGAGACTTTTCCAGTTCCCTACAAGCGATCGATTCCCAGCGATCCAAAGACTCGCACTTCACCTCCCTCGCAGCAACCCGGTTTATTTCAGAAATCAAGATGACTTGTGGGCCAGCATGGCAAATGGAGCAGCGGCCAGAACAACTCTCACAGAATTTTTCAGATTGAAAGAACAACTCTCACAGAATTTTTCAGATTGAATCGCCTCTTGGTTTTGGTATGCCAGCG